AAGCTTAGCTTTCTCCATTGCTGGGGGCAGCCCAAGCCTCCTGCTTGCTCCAGTTCTGTGACCACCGCCATCTTAGTTGGGTTAATTTGCATACTCTCTCCTGATTGGCTGGTGGGCGTAGCTTGTGGGTGTAATGGAGTGGTAGAGTGGCAGAGTGATGGTTAATTTGCATCTTTCTCTTTTATTAGTGTAGGTTTGCTTCTTTGCTTAGTAGCATAACTTGTCCAGCTAGGAATTCTGGGCAGCAGCCAAGTGGACACATATAGTTGACACCTCCAAAGGAAGCAGTACCCTAGAGAATACTTTGTAAAATACTGATCCTTATAAAATTTGCCAAAGATATTGTCCATTGTTTGCTTTCAGATGTTTCTTACATAGCTCATGTGAGTTTTCTTCTTTGTTCTTTAATTTGGTACTACGGCAAACCTTTCTCTCTCCTGTAGAATGAGTTTCCTTCTTCCTTCCTGATTCCAAGAAGAGCAACCTTTCCTCTTTACCCTTATCAGAAAAGTTGCAACTGAAATTGACACTCAGTTCAACCACTATAATATTTCTTATGGTTAATATATTTGTAGCCATCTTTTCTTTAGTCCTGATTTTTTATTTCTATTTTATTTATCTTATTATATTTATCCCCTTTGTCATAGGCATTTCAAATCCTTTTGAGAAAGAAGTGAAATATTAAAAATATAAACAGATATAAATGAGAATATAATTAATTTATAATTTAATATAAAGTTTATTACTTTATGCAAATGTAATATAATATAAATAAATGTAAATATATAGCAAGTACTATTATTTTTTCCAATAACCAAGACACCAATAAAATGGAATCAGTAAGGTACACCTCAATGAGTATTTGTATTTCATACAACTTTTAATGCATGAACAATACTATAATTTGATAACAGCTTCACTTCTTTGTCAAGTAGATATTAAGTTGTATGATAAATATATGTGTTAGTTTTCTGAATACAGTGTTTAAACACTAGTTTATGCTATATTCCTTCTTTTTTCTTCCCAGAGATGAAGATAATCCCTATGCAACCTCACTCTATCATAGCTAGATGATGCTATTGCACCTGGATTAAGAGATAATTGAATCATAAGGAAACCAACAACTGAAGATTCAAAAGCACCTCTTTTGGATTCTCAGAGTGTACATCTTTAAATCACAATTAAGTAGTTCCATTGCAGTTGCACTGAAGTGATTGGTTCCCTCTGGCTTTCTATAATTTTAAGTCTGCATTATGGCATGATAACAAAAGCTCATCATTTTTGTAGGTGCTGGTAGTTTTTGAACTTGCTTTTGTAAATACTAGTTGACATAAAGCATCAAAAACTACTTACATCAGGGGTCCTCAAACTACGGCCCGCGGGCCACATGCAAATACAAATATTGTATTTGTTCCCATTTTGTTTTTTTACTTCAAAATAAGATATGTGCAGTGTGCATAGGAATTTGTTCATAGTTTTTTTTAAAACTATAGTCCGGCCCTCCAGCGGTCTGAGGGACAGTGAACTGACCCCCTGTTTAAAAAGTTTGAGGACCCCTGACTTACATAGTCAAGCTAAAAACATTGGTTTTTCTCTTGAGAATTCCTAATTATGTGAAAAACATGGTTGCTGTTTGAGTGATGCGGACATTGCTATGTGTTTATAATTAAGTGCTATATATATATATTTCAATATGTATTACATATTCTGTATTAATATAGAGAACCAAATTTTGTCTGCTATTTTGTACAAGTAAGCTACCAAAGTCTGAAAAAATAAACTATGTTTTTACATTTGAGTCTCCAATTTTTTTAACAAATGAGAAAATTTTTATTTTAAGTTATATTTTTAAAGTAGTGACAGCTTTTCCTCTACTTTTATTTTTTTTTATTATTTTAATTGCAATTTTGAAAAGTTTCAGTAATCTAAAAGCAAATCAATTGCAGTTACTAGTAACCTATGCACTCTCATAATATTTGACTTAATGTGTTTCACATAGAGTGAGAACATGGAATATGATAAATAGAAGAAAAAAGCAATACCATGGCCTGACACATTGATGACTTTTAGTTTAAATTTCATTGATTAGTCACTTTATAGAGTGTTTTGTAGTCACTGAATGAAGGGTTCAGTTTTTATAATTTCAATTGTTTTACTTTAATTATACATGTAGATTACAGCAGGAAACCTTAAGCAATGCATTCTTTACAGTTAAATATGTTTTTGTCTCAATTTCTATTCAAATGCTGGGTTAAATAAATCTTTAAGCTTTCACAAAATTCTTCATATTTATTCCTTCCCAACATCCCAAAAGGGATCTGCTTTTTGAGGGACAAAAAGGACCTTTATTTCTTATCTTTCCCCCTTTCTCTTTCCTGCCTTTCTTCTCCATCTTGCTCCTCTAGATCTTCCTTCCATTAAGCATGAAACTGTGCCCTTAAGTGCCAATGCATCAGAGCTCACTGAACCAGTGTTGCATGTGTCCAACCTGTGAGACATGAATGGGAAATGGTAGCTGTTTGTCCTTGTCTTGATTTTCTTGTTTGTTCACAATGTACATAATCCCTTGTGTGTTTATTGTTATTATTATTATTTTTTTTTTAGAGAGAGAAGGGAGAGGGAGAGAGAGAGAGTAACATTCACAAGAAAGAAACATTGATCAGCTGCCTCCTGCACTCACCCCCACCTGGGGACTGAGCCTGCAGCCTGGGCATGTGCCCTGACTGGGAATTGAACCAGTGACCTCTTGGTGTCTGGGATGATGCTCAACCAACTGAGCCACACCTGCCGGGTGTATTTTGGTGTTTTTTTTTTTTTTTAATCTCATTTTCCCCCTCATTTTTTAAAATAACATCTCGTTTTTATGCTGCCGGGTGTATTTTGGTGTTTTTTTTTTAAATCTCATTTTTCCCCTCATTTTTTAAAATAACATCTCGTTTTTATTTCTTGGTTTTTTTTTCTCATGTTATTATCATCTATAATAGAGGGTGATCTCTTCATCATGCTTTGCTGTTTTCTTGTATCCTATTACCTGAATGATATGGAGTTAGTTGGAAGAGGAGAAAACTAAAAGAATAAATGAAGGAAAACAGCTGTGTATATAAGACAAAGCTCTGGCCTCTGTGGAGGCCCAGGAACTTAAAAAATGTAAAGTTATCATGCTGTTCAACATAAACTTATCTGAAATATGAGAGTAACCCAAAATGCATAAATCCAAAAACATTATCCAAAGGATATAACATAAGCTGAAAATTGAAATTAAGACCACAATCTCAAAAACAGTTTTCTGAGTATTTTATTTTGTGTAAGGGTCTCTCTTAGCAATTTCTAGCCAAAACATCTCTCTCCTTTTCCAAGTTATTAAAAACTTTGAATTGTGGCTGCAGTAAAATTGTCCTGGACGGGCGTTGTTTAGTCCTTGCCTGCACGGGGAATCACTGAAAGAATGGACTGAGATAAGAAACCTGGGTTCTAGGTTCAGCTTTACCACTCCTTGGCCATATGAGTTTGAGCATATCTTGTGCATATGTTTTGCAAACCAGTTTTCTTACCAATAAAACAGGACTGCAGATCTCCCTTTTGTCTTGGGTATCAATAGTAGCAAATGAATGTCTGTGGGCTTAGAAAGTTACAATAAACTCCGAATTTCTTATTTTTAAAAATACTGCAGATATTTAGAAGAGTTACAGAAAAGCAAATAGGTAAAATGCTTTCATCACAGCAAGTTTTTTCTCTCTGATGTAGAAGCAGCCCATTTGGACTATAGGACATGGGGGAAGTAGTGGCAGTCACGTTACCAAGGATGACATTAAAACAAGTCTGATTCATCATGCTTTGGCAAGTGTAGTTTGCGCAAAGGTGTTTTTAGTTTCCTCTCACCACTTACCAATGAGTATTGGTAAGTAAAGAGTTAGAATAGATTACATAAAGAGTTGAGGTTTTTTGGCATGCCAGACTTTGGTTTTTCTTTATTTTTGCAACTCTAGAGAGGATGGGAGGAGCAGCAGGGGTCTCCTACCCTGAAAACAGCCTCTTCCATTTTCCCTGTAAGTTCCCAGTCCTTACCAAAAGGAGATGCCAAGGAGGGGCATTTAAGACCAGTATCAGACCCTAACCGGTTTGGCTCAATGGATAGAGTGTTGGCCTACGGACTAAAGGGTCCCAGGTTCGATTCTGGTCAAGGGCATGTACCTTGGTTGTGGGCATGTCCCCAGTGCGGGGGTGTGCAGGAGGCAGCTGATTGATGTTTCTAACTCTCTATCCCTCTCCATTCCTACCTGTAAAAAATCAATAAAATATATATTTTTTTAAAAAAAGACCAGTATCAGATGGCCTTTTAAAGTAGTGGCAGCTAATACACAAAGCATTATGTGATTTTTATGATTTTCAACTGAAATATACAGAAAAATATGTAATTTATGCCGCATAACCCATTTTCAAAGCATTCTTTGCTTTGGGAACATTCCCCACTAACATTTCAGGAGGACCCTGGGTGAGTTGTGGTGGTGGCTGAGGAAGAGGATTTGCAGGGACCAGAGGTTTGATATTGTTTTCCTCCAGGGAGCCTTAGCTAACCAGCTATGGTTCACATGGAAGGAAATGATTTTTATCGCTGTTTCTACCCCGCCGTCTGGCCCTCTTGCTATCTGCTGAGAAATCCGGGCTTGGATCAAATCCAGTTTAGAAAACTCAGTGCTGGCATACATTTTTACCTCACTTTACATAGTGTTTATGACCTCATTTTCTGCCTGGAGAGTACTTAGTTCTCTCTCAAATTTTTTTAAAATTACTATTTTTTTTTAACTGATTTCAGAGAGGAAGGGAACGGGAGAGATGGAAACATCAACGATGACAGAGAATCATTGATTGGCTGCCTCCTGCACACCCCCTACTAAGGATTGAGCCTGCAACCCGGACATGTGCCTTTGACCGGAATTGAACCCTGGACCCTTCAGTCCATAAGCCAATGCCCTATCCACTGAGCCAAACCAACTAGAGCTATAGTTATCCCTCATAATAAATAAAATCAATGTCTTAAAACTCACTAATAGAAAATATTAAGAGTGGGGGGAAATTGTTAATAAATCCAGAAAATCCTATGCCCATTTTTCAGGTTTCTTTTCGTGCTATTCGGCCTGATACAGAACTAGCAGGAAGAGCTGTAAGAAAAAAAAAGGCAGCCTGGCTAGTGTAGCTCAGAAGTTGGCCCATGCACCAGGAGGTTGCCAGTTTGATTCCTGGTTAGGGCACGTGCCTGGGTTTTGGGCTTGATCCCCAGTAGAGGGCGTGCAGGAGGCAGCTGATCAATCCATCGATGTTGATGTTTCTCTTTCATTGATATTTCTATCTCTCCCCTTTCCTTCCTCCCTCTTTCAAATCAATAAAAACATACTTAAAATAAGAGAAAGTTACCCATTAAAAAAAGAAAAGAAAAGAAGCAGGTAGCTTCCTTCAAGCTGTAGAGGCTTTGAGGGAACATGAATTTATTTCAACCAAAAGGGAACTGGTAGTGAAAAGGACATCTTGTAACAGATATGCTATGAGGTGCTTTGGTAACCAGCATGCCTTGAAACAGAACCCCCGCTTCTTCAGGGGGTGCTTATATGTGTGACGCAGTAGGAAAAAGGTTCAGTTTTAAGGTCAGTCCATTACAGGCTTTTCCAAAGCAACCCATCTCTGATTATAAAATGTAAATCTACAAGGAAATAAGGATTCTATATACAAAATCTCAGCTTACAACATTACTTTTCAGATAGTTTTTATGGCAAGAAAGCTATGTCTTAACCACTTCTAAAAGGTTATCTACTATAAATCCAGCACTTTCTAACACTCCATGGGTCAAAATAACTTTAATCACAAAATTAGGAGAGTTTTGAGCTACATTATGTCTTCTGACACAGTGGAAAGACTCCTGGGCCATTTTGCCATTTTCACAGGCTGCTGTAAATACGCTTGATGGCGTCGGCTTCTTCTGTATCAAGGATGCCTTTCTCCACATAAGCTTCCGTTTGTTGGTTGATGAAGTCCTTCATCTTCGAAAGGTCATAATCTGGAAAATATCATGAGGGCATCAGGAGAAAGAGCAGGAAAGAGCAATCCCATTACAGTAATCACCATTATCCAGAAGCATTTCGTGTACCACCACCATAGCCATCCCCGTCTATCACATCGGAAGGTATTTTAGGTCTTGGCATTTGTGCAGAGGTCTGCAGTTTAAAACCATGCGTATGTGTGTGATATCAGCTCATCTGCTCTCCAGCGTCACACCTACTGGGTGATCAGGTCAGGAGTACCACCCTCATCTGACCACGGAGGGAACGGGCTTGGAGGCCAGGGCTTCACACCCTGACTATTTGTACCAATCACCTGGGGCTCCTGGGAAGTGGCAGATTTGCATTCAGTTGCTCTAAGGTGGGGCCCCAGATTCTGCTTTTTTTTTTAAATTTAATTTTTAAAAATTTTCAATTACAGTTGACATTCAAAATTGAATTAGTTTCAGATGTCCAGCATAGTGATTAGGCACTAATATAACTTAGGAAGTGATCAACCCTGATAAGTCTAGTATCCACTTAGCACCATACATAGTTATTACAATGTTATTGACTATATTCCCTAAGCTGTACATCCCAGTGACTATTTTGAAACTGCCAATTTGTGCTTTTTATTTCCCTCACCTTTTTCATCAAGCCACCTAACACCCTTCCATCTGGCAACCATCCATTTGTTCTGTGTATCTACAAGTTTATTTATTTTGATTGTTGTTCTTTTTTTTTGGTTTTGGTGAAATAATATGGTATTTGTCTTTCACAGTTTGACTTAGTTCACTTAACATAGTAACTTCTAGGTCCATCCATATTGGCGCAAAAGATAAAATTTCATTCTTTTTTTTAGGCCGAATAATATTTCATTGCATATATGTATATATATGTACCACCTTTTCTTTATCCAATTGTCTATTGATGGACACTTGGGTTGTTTTCATTTTTTGGCTATTGTATATGAAATGTCCTTCTTTGTCTCTTAGTATAGCCTTTGTTTTAAAATGTATTTTGTCCGATAGTCTGATATAAGTATTGCTACCCCAGCCTTTTTTTTTCCCATTTCTATTTGCATGAACTATCTTTTTCCACCCCTTTACTTTCATTCTCTATGTCTTTCAATCTGAAGAGAGTCACTTGTAGGCAGCATGTGTAAGGGTCTTGTTTTCTTCTCCATTCAGCCACCCTATGTCATTTAATCCATTTACATTTTAAGTAATTAATGATAGGTATGTAGTTATGGACATTTTATTGTTCACATTTTTATCTTTTTTCTTCTTCTTCTTAAGGAAGTCCCTTTAACATTTCTTGAAGTGCTGATTCAGTGGTGACGAACTCCTTCATATAACTTATGAAGTGATCACCTTTAGCTTTTCCTGTCTGGGAGCAGACCCTGCATTTTGAACAAGCTGCTAGGATGTGCTGATTTTGCTAGTTTAGGACTCACAGTTGGGGTAAGAAGATCCTCAAGCTTGAGTTCAAGATCGTACAGGTAGTAAAAGTTACAATCAGGACCAGGTATTTTGACTTTTTGAACTTGTTCCACTGGTTAATCCCTGTTGAGGTGACAACTGACTTTTCCATTTTTATCCCAAATTAAGAATTACCTTGATTTTCACACTGTTTGAATTGTATGCATGGAGCAAAAAGCCAAACCATAACCTCTTTATGGTTTCTCTGTGCTACTTAAACAAACAAACAAAAACCTATATACACCATCAATCCACCCACCAAAAACGAAGAGATCCCCAAGCAAGGAGGCTGCCTGTGGCACCTTTTTGAAAGCTTAAAAAGAAAACTACGTCTTCCCTTTATTCTTTAAATATTATATGCTTATTGTTTTTAAAAAAGATAAAATCATGAAAATAATATTGAAATAACCTGAATTCTATCAATCATAGCTAACCACAGTTAGTATTTTGTTTTATTTCCTTTTAGACTTTCAAATATATCTATCTCAACCCAGAATTGAGATCACAGTATATATACAAACTTATAACTATCCCCTTTCACTTAACTTTATACAGTGAGCATTGATATTCTTCAGAAACACCATTGTTAATGGCTAAATGCAATACATCCTATGGAGTCACCAACATTTATGACACACATCCCTCATGGTTGGGCATGGCGGTCTTCCATACCATACAGTACTTGGGAGACCCCTCCAGATTGTGAAGACAGTGCCATTCATCTTGGCAGCTGGCAGGCTCTGGACCAGAGCCCTGCCTTCTTTCAATTTGTAAAGGGAAGAGAACGGAGAGAATGGGGTACAAAACTCACAGCCCCTTTAGCTACCTTGGGTCCCTTGGGCATCTTTAAGACCCTGCATGGAAAAAAATAATCCAAAAAAACCCCACCCAAAATCTAAGCCTGAAAGACCTCTCTACCAGGACCAGGTGTTCATATCAAGATGAGCAGAGGCTTCGAGAGAGCTTGTTTCCGCCAAGGAGGGCATTGGCTCCTCACTGGGGCACAGCCTTGAGGGTTACAGAGAGGACGCTGGGCATTGAGCTCTTTACAACTGTCCTCTGATCTGCTCCTCACAAAACTCCACGAAGTCAGCATTAGTATTTCCATTTCAGAGGCGGAGAAACAGGACAGAGGAGGTCAGTCACATGGTCGGGCCCTGGAAGAGCCAGGTTCTGAACCAGGTCAGTCTGTAGTCCCTGCTTTGACCACTCTGTGGCCTTTAATCGTGAAGGTAAAGCATCTAATGGGTGCAGAACAAACGTTCAGTACGTGCTTGGGTTTGTTGTTGACTTTCCTTTTCTCTCAGGCACAAACTAGAGAACCAAGCTGACCGTACATTTTGTGTGCACCTCGCCTCGCTGGCTGATTCCTAGCTCGCTCACTGGTTCACATTAATACTCTTCAGACTCGGTTGCTTAGTGGGACAAAGGCAGACTCCCCCAAGGACAGATGTGAAGAGGTCCAGGTGATTTGAATGGGCAGACGGGGAAGTATTGTGCCGTGTTGAAGTGAAAGAACTGTATCCTTATGACATAGCTATCACCCTGTGCCGGGAAAGCCAGTCTGGTGTGGGGAAAGGCCGGCCGCTGGTTGAGAGAGTACACAGTCAGTGCCCACCTCGCTCATCTTAAAAGAGGATTTAAGGTTGTTATGCGCAAAAGATCTAGTGCTGTGATTTACAAAGCACACTTTTATAAAAAAGGCTGCATTCGATTTTACCATCATCGCTACGGTCACATCACATGGACCTTTCTCTCCTGGATTTGGAAAGGAGATTCAGGCCCCCCAGGTCCCTGCCAAACAAAGGGCATGAGCAGAAGTTAAGGAAGTCAGGAGCTAGTACTGTAACAAGACTCCCTCTCACACAGCTGCAGCCCCTACATGGCCCAGGGCCAGATCCTCGCAGGCTCTGAGAGATGATCTAGCTGAGCATACCTGAAGCAGTGGAGAAAAAGCGCTCTGCTTCTGCCTGCAGGAGGGTGTATTGCATGTCACCTCCCCTCCTGCAGGCAGAAGGGATCGTCAAACTCAACCCTGTGGTTCTGAGTTTGCTCACAGAGCCTTCCATATGCAAGCACCAGAGTTCCATGCTTTACTAGGTTGGTTGTTTCTTGAAGTAAAAGATTGAATTGCAGGATGTTGCTGGGTAGGACCAGGAGTCTGATTCATATGTTCATCAGTGAAAGAAATCACATAAATAGTCCAAATTGTTGGACCATGTAATTTACATTGGTTTCGGAATGCACTTTGGCCCCTATGGTATTGCACTGATCCTGAGAGAAACGTTTTTATTTTCAAGTCTTCGCAGTCACTGATAACATGCTATACTTTTTCTTCCTTCGTGGTGCATTACACAATGGTGCATTTCCCAAATCAATGACAGATTTGATGAATTACAGTTCATGTGAATTTTAATGGAACTGACAGCCTGGAAATTCACATTATGTTGAGCCAAATAAAATGAAAATGTGTGAAGACCTGATAATTGTTTCCATCTTGCTCAATACCACGGGCTAACAAGGGGCTGAAAACATGTCTTCCTCCTGCTGGCTCTACCTCAGCAGTTCTCCAACTTGGCTGCACCGTGGAAAGAGGAAGCGGGGTGGGTTAAAAAATATTGATGCCTGGGTCCTGCCCCTCAAGTTTTTTATTTACTGGTGCCCCCTGGGCATCAGCATATGTAGAAGCTCTGCATGTGTTCTGAATGCACTATAAGGTTCGAGAAGCGCCGCTCGTCTCATTTTAAAAGCATCACTTTGCAACTGCTCTGTCTAGACACCTAGGAATCATACTGGACTTCTCTCACTTGACATAGCTCTCAGGTTTCTCCCTTCTTTATGTCCTCTGCCTGCCCTGGTTTAAGCCCCATCATTTCTGCTCTTGATCCTTGTCTCCTATCTCTCTCTCCAATCTTCTGGGATCTTATTTTTTCAATCTGTAACCGCACTACATGCCAGATAGATTTCTCACTTCTTACTAGTAACTGAGCTCTCAGGGCTTAAGTAAGCCCTGACTTAGGTTCCCCTGGCTAAACAAGCCTCCTTTGCAAGGTGGCCAAGCATGTTCCTGCCCTGCCCACGTTCCCAGCCCTGTCTGCTGGTCCGCCCCATTAGACACCCAGTGTTCCTGACAAAACTGAACAGCTCCAGTTCCCAGAATGCATCACTCTCGTTTGTCCCGTTATGTCTTGGCACCCAGTGTTCCTTCTGTCTCCATCTCTCCTCACTTACCTTTCCAGTGAAGCCTTTTTCACAGCCCTTCCTCCCAGTGATCTCGGTCTCTGTGCCCCCTTTTCGCCCTCCTTTGCACCACCATGCCTGTCTGTGATGGCGCCCACAGGGCCAGCTGTGCTTTGCTGATGCTGTGAGCAACTTGGGGGCGGGTGTGCTGCATTTACTGTGCCTCTCATTTCCGGCACTCAGAACAGAGCCCAGTTAGATTCGTGTTTTAAGTGAGTGAGTGACTGCTTTTGTGACTGCCGAGTGCACCTACCACGTGCTCAGAAAATGGCTCTGTTTAAAATTCTCCAAGGAAGGAGGGGGAGTAGACAAAACAAGATTGGCAAAGTGGGTGATGGACACATGGGGATTCATTATATTATTCTCTCTACTTTTGTTTGACTTTTTTTCCATCATAAAATAAAGAAAGGGGGGGGGATGCCTTTGTTTGAAAGGCTGGTTTGAAAAATAAGAGAAATGGAAGTTCCCTCTGCATCCGAGAAGTGCTGGAATCTCTCTGGGCTCTGAGAGGACACATCAGCCTCATTTGATTGTGGGAATGTTTATTTAACAACAGCCCCTGGCAAATGGGTGAAGTTTGCAGCTTATAACCACACTAAAAGGCTTACCTTCCTTATTTCCTTTTGTGTTGTGTTTCTTCAGCCATTCAATATTTTTTCTGATGGCTTCCAAATAGGCTTCTGTTTTCCCTGGAAAGGCAAGAGAATCATATCAAACTCTCACACGATACCATTGCATCTCTTTTTAAAGACCACACTACGTGTAAAACCATAGACAAAATATTGAAATTATCGAGCACTTGTGTGGTGGTATCCCTAATGAGGTAGTGTGCATCTGTGTGTGTGTGTGTGTGTGTTGGGGGGACAGGATGTCAAGAAGAGGGGTGGGGATAAGATTCTAGGAGGCAGGACAAAGCCGGTAAGTATCAAGAAGCCATTCTCCCCCTACACAAATAACTATAGTGTTATGTTCTGGCAGAGTTTTGATTCAATTTGCTGGATAGGTGGGTCCCTATAATTCATAGATTGAGTTGTTTGGTTACGGATGGTTCTTCTAAACCTAGGAGACTTGTCAGGTCAAGACCTGAATCAGAGTGACAGATATTTAAAAGAACCCATCACTAAGTGCTGGTAAGTAAGCCCAAGTGTGTGGCTTATGTAAGCTGTCATGCACGTCTTCAGCTCCATTCTGATAGGGAGTATGCAGAAACTCAGGTAAAGAGGGCAGTCCAAACCTCATTTCTAGGTTTGGATGGTGAGCCTTATAATTTATTCTAGTAAAACTCCCCAGGATGTAAACCATTCTCTGATGGGCCTCAACTGTGGCAGGAGAATACCACACATCACCTGCTGTTTGATGGCATTGCGTTTAAGTGACTTGTTGCCTACAAATCGGTATTATCATCAACTTAGAGATGAGGAAACTAAGGTACAGAGAGGCTGAGTGACTTGGCTGAGGACACACAGGAAATAACAGAGCTAGAATTTGGGTTCTGATCTTGCCAAGTGTCTGTTACCTGCACAATTTTGAAAGATTGCACCTGTATTTAGACATGAACATCAATGTATCCTTGTTTTGTCTCAAAGAAATCAACCATCCCCTTAAGCAAGTGAGGTCCCTAATGCTCAGAGTGTCTGTACTAAGAGACAGGGGGGTCTGGAGAGTTCTGATGGCCTAAGAAAAAAGGCTTTCAAAGTGCAGGGCCTCTGCGAAAGGAAGGAATGCCAAGGCTTAGTGTGGTGACCACCTACTCTGAGCCCCTTTTGAGCCCTCTAGTCTACTACCCAGACTTTTTGAACTACCTGTACTGAGTGCTTTTTATGTGCCAGGGGCTGTACATTGTGCACCAAAATGCATTATCTCTTTTATTCTTCACAACAACCTTACAAGGCACTCCTACTTCATCCCCATTTTACAGACAAAGAAACAAAGGCATAGACAGATAAAAGTGATATGCTGAAGATAACATGGCTTGTAAGTAGTAGATCCAGGTTTGAACATGGCTACATCTGACTACAGACCATGAGCAATAACACTGCCTTAAGATTTGACAATGTTCTGAGGATCCAAGATGGTGGCGGAGTAGGTGGATGTTATACTTACCTCCTCCCAGTCCCAAACTGGAATTACAACTAAAATATAGAGCAATCAACCTGAATAGTCATCTGAAGACTAGCTAAACAGAAGTCTTATAACTAAGGATTTACAGAAGAGGCCACATGGAGACTGGTAGAAAGGCCAGAGACTTTAAAAGGACTGGTGGCTGGTCCCACTTGCATGGGACAGTATCTGAGATCTTGGAGGAATATCTAAGCTTCGAAGGTTCCCCCTGAGAAATGTGGGGTCTCAACCCCAAGCTGGGCTCAGTGCCCAGAGCAACAATGCCAGGAAGAGGTGCCCACATAACATCTGGCTATGACAATCAGCAGGGACTCCATCTGCCAGGGAGAGACGGGAGTCTACTAGAAATCCAGGCATCCTTGTAAGGGACCAGCACACAAAGTCTTGTTCACAGCCACTCTCTCCCTAGGCTTTGGCAGAGGGAGAGCAGAGCAGACTAGAATCATGTGAGGAGAGACTGGGCTTGTGACTCTGGGGAGCCTAGGCACCCTCATAAGAGACCAGCACACAAAGTCTTGTTCACAGCCACTCACCCTAGGCTCTGGCAAAGGGAGGGCAGAGCAGACTAGAATCGTGTGAGGAGAGACTGGGCTTGTGACTCTGGGGA